AATTTAAAAAAATAATATATTTAATTTAATAAATTATAGAATATATTTTACGAAAATAGTATTTAAATATAAAAAATATATAAATGAAAATAATGTACTTAATATAACATGCATATTTAATTAAAATTAAATACTTTTGCTTAAATGAAGTGAACAATTCCTTGCATTTAAAGCAAAAGTTTCAAGAAAACAAATTTATTTGATTTAAAAAATTTTTCCCTCAGTGTATTTTTTAATTACTTACCACGATATTAACTAGCATGTCGCCATGACCATATAGTAACGCGATAGATACCGTGATACTCGGCAGATTGTAGTCCGGAGATTCAGCCGAATTGTATATCAATTGATTTTTTTTCGCGATCGTATTGGCGAAACTTGCCCGATTGGTATATCTGGACGTAATGCATAAGTGTCTTACTCGAGGTGCCGGCCAGGTCGTGATTCAGGATAACAGGCAGTAGAGTCTAACAATGAATAAAAAACGATATATCGGGTGTAACAAAAAGATCAGGACACCGGATCTCGAAAAATATGAGTTGTGCAAAAAAATGTTTTAGATAAAAGTTATAGGGCTTAAAATAGTCTATTCACGGATCTTATCAATTTGACCTTCGTGAGTCAGAATAGAAAGCGATTGATCCGATTTTGTAGAGAAGAATCGTCCCTTTCGGTACTTCCTCTAAATAGAGACTCTTCCGAGACAATTGCCGTGATAGAAAAAGTAGTCCCGTTATATATAAATGCAAAATGGATCTCCTTGCTCTCGAATATCGAGCCAATTAACTCGTTACATATTCGATTAGTACTATTATTTATCGTTGCTACGTTGATGGAGATAATATTTCGCATACATTTATTCTGACTCTCGTGAAAACAATATTTGTTTCGAAGAGAGGAGAGAAGCGCCCGACTTAAAATAAAAAGAATGGAACGGTTGATACATAGTTCTCTGTTCCGAGCAACATCTAAAATTTAAATTTATGTTATCACTTACATATACAAGATAATTTGCCAAATTTATAGCACAAAAAATGCACATATTTAAGGACTAAAGTATTTTTAATCATTGAATGCAACTTTTATCTGCTGTTCAAAAAATTTTCCATTAGTTTTCTAAAAAGAGATAAATGCCGATAATTTTTTTTCAGCATTTCGCTTTCTATTTTATTGCAATTTACAAAAATTTCTGCGAAGATTAAAAAAGAAATATATTTTATGTATCATTCTATGTAAAATTATATATGTTATATATTTATATATGATTTATATATATATATTTATATATTTATATTTATAGATTTATAGATTTATTATAGATTTATATATATATATATATATATATATATATATATATTTATATATTTATATATTTATATATGATTTATATATTTGAATAATTTTCCTCGCAACAAATTCGAACGATTCGCGTTACTGCTATCGAAAATATGCATAGATATATCGATAAACATACATGTAATAAATCGCAAAAAATCGATTGAAGAATTATATATATTCCTTTCGCTTTTATATTGTAATTTGCATATACTTGTCAATCCTTACTATTTATTGCAACAATTAATCATTTGTCACAATGATTACTTGAAAACATGCGACTCATACTAATTCACCCTTGCATTAATCGTAAATAATTCTAAAATGTTATAACTTTACGTTCCATCAAACTGACGATTGTGATTGCCATCAATAGCATCAATTAATGAGAACTTAGTGTAAAATATTCATCGTTTATTTAAATTGTCTACGTAATCATCCCATTGATATAGTATTATTCAAATTTTTTTTCCTCATAAAACTTTTAAGTGCTCTCTCGTACACAAATTTGTGCGCATTCTTAGCCTACATAAAATCTACGTGATTGAATTTTAACCATTTCAAAATAACGGTTACAAACGTTGTGTTATTTGTAATAAAAAAATATAAAAATGTAATTTATTTTTTTATTAACAAGAAATAAATTCAATAGTTATTTTTAGCGTTACTTTTCAAACTTAAGTGCCATGATTTCTATCAAAGCAAACAAAAACACCAATAACATTATATTCTTATAAAAATTGAAAATAAATGACTTTGATAAAATTTAATTCTTTTTATTTTAAATCAGATTATGTAATCTTTGCATGTTAAAAATGAATTAGACTTGTAAATTAGTTTACCAAATCAGGGGATTTTGGAATTATAAATTACAACGTAATTTTTCCATCAATTAATATAAATCCTATGTATTCATGTTAAAAAAATAATGTTATGATACGCTATCTTTTAATTATTTATTAATAGCTTACTTCGAATTATTTTATATATTTTTAGGTATTTTTAAATATTTTTAACAGAGGTTTAGAACTTTAATAAAATTGAAAATCTTCTTGTTTTTTTTTAAATTAAAATATAAAAATGATATGTTCGATTATTAATTATCTAAAAATTATAGATACCATATCATCAGAATTTCAAAATTTAAAAATTTAAAAATTATAAT